AGAAGGAGAGAACGAAGGGAAGAGGGAGAGGAGAAGGGGAGAGATGAAGGGGGAGAAGGGAGGAGAGATGAGAAAGAGAGAAGAGAGAAGAGAAGAGGAGAGAAGGATGAGGAGAATTGGAGAGAGAGAGAGAAGAGAGAAGAGAGAGAGAGAGATGAGAGAGATGAGAGAGATAGAGAGAGAGGAGAGAGAGAGAGAGAGAGATGTAGATGGAGGAAGAGAAAGAGAAAGAGAGAGAGCAGAGAGAGATGAGATAGAGAGAGAGAGATAGAAAATCGCGAAGAGAGAAAGAGGCGAGAAGAGAGAGAAAGAGAAAAAAAAGAAGAGAGAGATCAGAGAGAGGAGAAGGAAAGAGAAAAGAGAAAGAAAATAGGAGAAAAAGGACAGCGAAGGAGGAGAAAGAGAGCGAGTGAGCAGAGAGAAAGAAAAAGAGGCGGGAACGAGAAATAGCGAGAAATAGCGAGAGAAAACGTATTTCTTCTACCCATCTTGAAGGAACCCCATTTTCTTGAGGGCACGTAATCCTTACTCCCCAAGAGATGTCCCAGCCGAGTCTCACACACTTAATAAGGCAGGATATTAATAGCTGTTGGAAGACGTTTTTTTTTTTTTTTTTTTTTTTCTTTTTTTGACCGAAGAAGAAATGATAAAGAAAAAGAAGATTGTGCATGAGATTCCTTTTTTTATCTATTAAGAAAATTGTACCTGAGATTCTTATTTTTTTTTTATCTATTAAGTAGATAAGTAGTATTGATGAAGTTTGTGTATGTAGGTGGATGAGAGGGGGTACGGGGGAGGGGGGGAGAGAGGTATATTGATAGCTTTTGAAAAATCATTTGCCTTTATACTTTTTTCTTAGCATTCAGCTTTTTATTACTAGTATCTTATTACAAGAAATCATTATGATAATTACAATATTAACGACAATAGTAATTAAAACATCTGATGCATTTATTTATATCTACATTAGATTTTTTCTTCCCATTCAGAATTTTATTACTAGTATCTGTTGACAAATAACAAAATAAAAATAAAATAAATAGATAAGTGAAAAGTAAAAATAGAAAAATAAATATGAATTATAATAATAATAGAAAAATTAACGACAATAGAAATAAAAAACATCGAATACATCTATTTCTATCTATTTCACACTGAACACTGAAACAGCATATAACATGAGAACATATTTTGTCCTTTCTTGTAAAGCTACAACTTCAGTACTAAACAGTACTTTAGATTAGGTACAAAATATATGCAAATAGACAGGTAGATAGATAGACAGACAGATAGAGAGATAGGCAGTCTGGCAGACAAATAGACATATAGATAAATAGGTAGATAAATAGATAGAGAGATAGAGAGACAGATAGACTGATAGACAACCAGACGTATAGACATATAGATAGAGAGGTAAATAGATAGATATATAGACAGATAGATACATAGATAGAAAGATTGTCGGATATCCATTCTTCCCCCTCTCTCTCCCCTTTTCTAACACACGCTCTGCCCCCACCCCCTCTCTCTAAGTACCTAATCTATCTATCTCTCTCTTCTCTCTCTGTCTCTTCTCTCTCTCTCTCTCTCTCTCTCTCTCTCTCTCTCTCTCTCTCTCTCTCTCTCTCTCTCTCTCTCTCTCTCTCTCTCTCTCATCTCTCTCTCCTCTCTCTCTCTCTCTCTCTCTCTCTCTCTCTCTGTCTTCTCATATATATATATATATATATATATATATATATATATATATATATATATATATATATATATATATATATATGTATATATATATATATATATATATATATATATATATATATATATATATATACACTACATATATATATGTATTATACATATATTCCCTCCCCCCTGTCTCTCTGCCTGTCTTTCTCTCTATTCTCTCTTTTCTCTGTCTCTCTATCTCCCTCCCCCCCCTCTCTCTATCTGCTCTCTCTCTCTCTCTCTCTCCCTCTCTCTCTCTCTCTCTCTCTCTCTCTCTCTCTCTCTCTTCTCTCTCTCTCTCTCTCTCTCTCTCTCTCTCCCTTCTCTTCTCTCTCTCTCTCTCTCTCTCTCTCTCTCTCTCTCTCTCTCTCTCTCTCTCTCTCTCTCTCTCTCTCTCTCTCTCTCTCTCTCCCTCCCTCCCCCCCCCCTTCCTCATCGTACCCTCATGGCAACCAATCTGGAAAACATCTTTGGAATTTTTTCACTGGCGTTCATCTTCTACATGTCCGTAGTAATTTCTTCATAACTATTTTTTTTTTTACATTCCCATTTGACCCCAAATATTCCTTTTTTCTTTCTATTTTTTTCATTCATCATATTTTTCTATGCTTATTTTTTTTTTTCATTCATCATATTTTTCTATGCTTATTTTTTTTTTTCATTCATCATATTTTTCTATGGTTATTCTCACAACCCTTTACTATGAATAACTAAATTAGATAGGAATGAATGCTCGTATTTTCATATGTTCAAATATTTCCCTTCTCGATGAATGACTTGTTTTGAATTCATTGAAGAATTTGAATTCATAGAAATTACGAACCTACGTGTTATTTACGAATTTTTATTGCGAAATCGTATGTTTTTTTTTTTTTTTTTTTTTTTTTTTTTTTTTTTTTCACTCACGTCGACGCAGAAGAAATTAATGTCTTTTTCTCTCTCTTTTCTTAGCTCTTTCGTTCTCTCTTTTAGAATTCTTTCCGAAAATTGATTATTCAGATTATTATTTTGTTTATTTGTCTGTTTGCAATTTGATATTTTGTTATTGATTTTGTTACTGTTATCATCATCATTACAGTTATGATAATAATCGCAATGATAATGATAATAATTATTATCATTATTATCATCATCTTTTTTGTTCTTAGTATTTTCAATTTTGTTATTATTCTATCATTGTTAATATTTTCGTTATTATCATTATTATCACTATTTTTATCCTTATTATCATTATCATTATTGTTATTATCATTATGATTTTTCTTACTATAATCATTATCATCATTATTATAATTATTGTTGTTATCACTACCTTTATCATTATTACGATTATGATTATGATTATCATCATTAATAGCATTGTTAACATTATGCTTATTCTTTTAATTGCGTATCTTTGCTTATCATTACTCCTTTTATTTCATTAATCATAATCATCGTCAAAAATTGTAATCGTTTATCACTATCATTATTACTATTATTTTATTATCATTATTATTATTATATTATTATTATTATTCATCATTATTATCATTATTGTTTATTATTCCTATCATTTTATTATTTTTATTATTATTTTATTATTATTATTATTCATTATTATTCATTATCTATTATTATTATTATTATTATTACTATTATTATTATTATTATTATTANGTATGATGTCATCATACATACAGAAACCACACACTCACACACGCACACAAACACACACACACACACCACAAACCACACACCACACACACACACCACACAACACACACACGACACCACACACCCACACACAACAACACTCATACATACCATACTATATTAATATATATATATTATATATATACTGATTATATATCTATATATATATTTATATATTATTAATTTATATTATATAAATATTACTATACATTATACATACTATATGCATTTATAACATATACATATCTTAAGCCCGCACATAAGAACGAGAAAGCACCATAGCTCTTGGAGAGGTCCGGAGCCGCTGTAGCTGGAAGTCACAGCTGTTCCCGCTGAACCGCAGCTGATTAGCCAGGGCCTCCAGTCAGCGTGGGGTGGCACTGGGAGCCGCGGCAGCAGAATCCAGACGAGGAGTTCAGACGTGATCTCCGTTTTCCTCTGCGTTGGAACAATATATTATTATATATATAATATATATATAATATTATATATATATATATATATATATATATATATATTACTTATTTTTTTTTTTTTTTTTTTTTTGTTTTTTTTTTTGTTTTACCCCCAGCTCGTTTTGAGTTTTAATAGTCGTTTTTTATATTAATGGTTATGTTTTTGTTTGTGTTTAGGTTCTTGAAGTTTGCCTAATATTTTACTTATTATCTTCATTCGAATCTGTCATTTTAATAATTTTAGATATTATTTTATTTTTCGAATTCTCTTTTTTTATCTATTTGTTCCCTTTAAAAATGAGCGTGATTGGGTCTATCATATTTATCTATAAACGTTTTTTATCATATATGTATATTTGGATTTGGAATTATATTGATATTAACCAGTAAATAATTTTATTCGTTTATACGTTTATTGACATCTCTTTTAGCTTTTTACAGATGTCAATGACGTCATGACTCTTTAAGATGCTTTATTTTCAATTATTTTAATAATTTGTCCTAATCTTTTTACTTTTTTAAAAAATAATTCTTGGTTTTTTTCCTATACACACACGTTTTTTTTTTTTTTTTTTTTTGAGTATGTCTATTTATGGAAATGATGATGAAGCAAATGACCCAGCCAAAGCTAGACGGTAGCAATAAAGATCTCTCTCTCTTTCTTCTCTCTTCTCTTCTCCTCTCTCTCTCTCTCTCTCTCTCTCTCTCTCTCTCTCTCTCTCTCTCTCTCTCTCTCTCTCTCTCTCTCTCTCTCTCTCTCTCTCTCTCCTCTCTCTCTCTCTCTCTCCTCTCTCCTCTATTTTATGTGTTTTTTTTTTATGTTTTCATTGTTTTCAAAATGTTTTACGCCAAATTCCTTGTGGATTCGGCATTTCTATTTTTGTTTTTATCCTTCAGTTCCCTATCAAGTTTCGTATCTTTTTTATTCTTTTTATTTTGTGTAAACCATCGTGTTTCCTTTTCTTATATTGATGGCTTTTAGTAATGTAATTTTAATGCGCGAGCTCTTGTTTCACAATTCATGCCTTAAGCCGTTATATTGTTTCAGTATCTTTCATTTCCTTTACTCGTCATATTTCAAATGAGAGACTGAACTACGAGGACTTCCAGTAATATTTCCCGGCACAG